TGTGTGTAGTGTGTATATATATTGTATATATATATATATATATATATATATATATATATATATAACTCATATATACATTTAAAAGCTTTAATCTTTTAAATTACAGAAACATTAAGTGGTACATAATTTATTTACACAATATTTACTTTATCACTTCAATTGTCAGGTAATAGGAATCATATCTATTCTCCTCTCATACTAATAGCATCTCTATTTTTTTCTAAAAATCATTAAATTTTTAATTAATTGTTAAACATTATAATCCATGATATTATACAATTAATTGGTTTTTATTATATTACCAAATTGATATTGCACATTTTGTTGGACTGATTTTTTTTTAGAATATTTAATCAGGTGTATGTGGTGGTTCTTGGCTAAAATATGGTGCTGTATCTTGTACCAATAATGTATGGCAAACATCACAGACTCTGGATGGTCTTTGTTTCGGTCCACTTTTCACAATATGTGAAAGGCAAGATTGACAAAATATATGGCCACAATGACGGCAATGTACCTATATAAAAAATTTTTTCATTAACATGAAAAAATTATATATAGATATAAATCATTTATATTAACAAATTTATTAACATTATTTATTAATATTACTTTTTTCTTTGTAACTGTAAAAGTTGTATGACAAGTAGGACATTCTTCTATATCTTCTTCATGCTGCCATCGTACTTCACTACCAGCTTGTCTAATTCTTTCTAATTGTACCTACAATTAATGAATAAATAAATTTTGTTTTATTAATTGATATTATATATTCTATTAATTGATATTATAGTATTTATTATACCTGTAACGATTGCGATAATCTAACAAAATCTTTTTGAACTGCTTCGCTAGTATCTAGTTCTTGTTGAAGACTGGTAACTCTTTGCCGTAATTCAGTCACTTTTAATTCAGCTTGTTTATTTTCTTTTAAAACAATATCTAATTCTTTTTCTAGTCGTTCCAGTTTTTCTTCCCTTTCAGCTAGAGATCGATAATCTCGTACATATTTATCTAATTGCGTTCTATAAAATATTATTACTAAAAAATTACAATTATAAAAATCTAAGATACATATATAAAATGAATAATATTACCTTAATCCACTAATTTCATTTTTTAATACCAATATTTCTTGTTCCTTAACTCTACTTTCCTGTTCCATTTGTTCATGGAGCAAGGTCACTTCATATCGCAATGTTTCTTCTTTTTCCTGCGCAACTTCTTGAGCAACCTTAGCAGTAATCAAATCTTCTCGCATTTTCAAGAGACTAACATGCAGTTCCTCAACATTATTCGGCATATTGATACTCTCACTCTGCAGTTGCTGGGAATGCTTGCTATGTTTACCAACAAGATTTTCATTTTCCTTTTGTAGTCTGCAAAGATTCAACTAGATTTTCAATAAAATTTTGTCAGAAATGTCACGATAAAAAATATTATTTTATCTATGTCGAAAATTGGAAAGAACAATGAAATAAGAGTGAGAATATTATTTTAAATTTTCTTACGCGATAAGATGTCTTTGTACTTCTTCTCGACCATATGTTAATTCCACAAGTTCATCTTTCATATTTCTTTGAACTTGTTCAAAAGATCTTTTTAGTTCAGTTAAAGTCTGTTGCAAAGTTTGAGAAGCGACAGTAAGCTCTGCTACTTTAATTTTAAGCTCCTCTTTTTTTTCATTCCATTTTTCTTCCATTTCTTTCCGAAATTCCACTTCTTTTGCTAAATCTTCTTTCTGCATTTGCAACATCCGCTCAGAATCTAACTGCTGCTTTTCTAAATCTTTAGCAGTTGCTTGCATCTTAACTAACTGTGCTTCATAATTTGCACACATATCACATGTCGATTCAGAAGAACCAGATTCTTGTTTTTTTTGCAACTGTGTTTCTTTACATTTCTGTAATTCATCATCTGTTGCTCTTAATTTTTCTTTTAAAGCTTTAATTTCTTCCTCAAGTGGCACTACCAATGAACGTAAAACTTCAGCATCTTCCTGTGCCTATAAAGCAATATTTTTTAACATTTACATTATATATAAAATAAAAAAAAAGAAGAAAAAGAGAAAAATGAAAATGTTAAACAAGAATTTTAATATTTTATAATAATATATTAAATGATTTATGAACTTTTTCTGAAATGCAGTGCTATTCTATAAAGCCATTGCAGAAGAGTTCAAAAACCATATATTTTTTATGCTTACGTACATATCTTTTTACCTTCCTCATGCTTTCCTCAAGATTATCAGGACCTAAAGATAAAGCATCTGCACCTAATTGAGAAACTACTTTTCGAGCTATTGTTTTTGTTACTGTAGAAAGTGATATTTGTGGACCATCTAAAGGTGGATCTCGAGGTAATTGTGATTTTAACAATGCATTTTCCTCTTGTAACTTGGAAAGAGTCATTTTTAATTTAGTAAGTTCTGTATCCAATTGCTTGCGAGAACAAGAAGATTCTTCCATTGTTTCATGTATAACCCTTTGCAAAGATGCTATTTCTTCTTGTGCCTTTCTTTTTTCAATAAGTATATCATTCTGAATTTTTAAATCTGCAACAACTAGTTGACTCTTTGCTTCATCTAATTCATTTTTTAATTTGGCATTTTCCTTTTGTAAACCTGTATTATCTTGTAATCTTCTTTTTAATTCTTCTATAAATATCATACTTATATAATTTATTTCTGTTATTATATTTATTAATATAAAGTAATTTTACCTTCTTTTTGAAGAAATAATTCCTTCATTTTAGCTCTCTGAACATTGAATTCTTCTCGCATTTTAACATTTTCTGATTCCAATCTATTTATTTTTTCTTGTAGATCTTCTAAATTGCAATAAACATTTTGTTGATAAAACTTTTATATAAAGAACAAAATTGTAATTGCAATAACAATGAAAAAAATTAAAATTATTTAAAAACATAGAAATTGTAAATTTTTCAAAATTTTCAAAATTAATCAACAATTAAATGTTGTCAATATAAATTGGAGAAAAATAAAAATAATTGTCAAAATGTTATTGTGTGAAACATACCACTTCCATTCATATTGACTGCATTATCTTGCGTATGATTTTCCATCATTTGTTGATTTTGCGTGACGAATTAAATTTTGTTTAGGGTGGGTCACTGTCTTTCGTATAAGATAGAAAATTGTATCCTGAAACACTCGGGTAAATATTTCGATGACATTATGGCATATGTGCCAATAACAGTCTTTAGGTTTCACTGACATTCATTCTATCAAGGAGATCAGAATCGCAATGACGCGTTAATTACGCAAAATAATGTTTCATTCGCCAAAACAGAAAAATCAACCTCAACGATTTAGCGGTATGCTAGCGGTGTATTATCAGCACTTCCTCATCAATCAGTATCGATATTTTAAACAGTACATATTCGATAATCGAGAACTCGGAATCGATTAAATCAAAATCTCGTTCAGTATTGATAATGACTTTTTTAAAAGTCAATATCAATATTTACAATACTATAATGAATACGTTGTAATTTAACGTAAATCAATAATATTTTCGCTCAATACACATTGACGTAATACGATGTCAATATGAGTTTATATAAATTTATTTAAATTATATAACAAATGTTTCATTTTCAATTATATAAAATACAATAATGAATCATTTAATAAATATAAATTTTACATTAATTATTTTTACATTAATTTTTTTCAAAATAATTTTCTTTATACTCTCTCAAATAGCTATAATCATCTAATGTGTATATTTTTAAAATTCACATATTACATAAAATTCAATAACAGTTTTAATTATAAAAATGTAATGAAGTATGTAATATCATAATAAACATCATAATAAAAGTATGTAATATCATAATATTTTTTTAAAATTAAGATTCATTATAATTTTTATATCTTTTCAATATATATATATATTATTTTTTTTTTTCTAAAGAAACAAAAATTGAATAATATGTTATTAAATTGAATAATATGTTATTTATTAATAAGATTGCAAGTATATTTTTTTTTTATACTCAATAAAATGAATTAAAATAATTATTTTATCGTGTTAATTTCAAGAATGAAATATTTGATCATAATTCGTAGTCAAGGATTATAAAATGTCTCCCATTACTACTAACTATCCCCACTCTTTTATAAAAGTTTAATTACGTTTGCTTTTGATAGATCTGATAATTCTTATCAATAAATTTTACGAATTTAATAAAAGAAATATAAAATGAAAAATAAATAAAAATATTTTTTTTTATTATATGAATAGTTACAAGTTTGTGTAAGAATTACTTTAAAATAAGTAATAGCGTTATGAAGTAATTTAATGTTTCATAATTTGTACAATCTAATGAAAAAACTAAAATATATTTATGAGTAGAAAAGAGAACGTAGAACATTAGCCTTGAAGTTACTTTCAATTGCAGTTCAAGTGATTTTTCGAAAAGGTGCCTATTACAATTCGTGTATTGAGTCGCAACGCATTCAGTTGCTCGTAATGGAGGTGTTATTGATGATCAATTTTTAACATTCGGAATTATTCAAAATTTTTCATCAGTAGTGAATATCCTCAAAGTATGATCATTATACCGTTACATTATTTAAATGTAGGCCATTGAATTTTTTAAAGGTAAGGTCGCCATATCGGTTTCAATTTGCGTAGTTAACTATCCATACAATTATATTGAATGATATTAAATATATTCTTTTTTTCTTTTATTAACGAAACATTGTATAGTAAACATAACTACATTGAATTATTAATGTTGCATTTGTAATATTGTAGTTATTGTATAATTTGTTATTTTATTCATTGTATATATCGTTAAATGCTATTAAATAATAAATAATTTAAAACAATTTTATATTTGTCAATAACAATAAAAAAATATTTTCAATTTTAAGAATAATACCATTGCATTGCATCATGAGCGCATTTTGGAAAGAATGTAAATTAGAGGCAACTGGACCAGCTATTATGAAGAGTCTCGACACAATGTGTATCTGCAACAAGGATATATACCATTCCAGTCATGATTCCGTAAATGGAAATGAAATACGTGAAAGTGAAATGCACATGAAATGTCAGTGCAATCAACCTAAAAGTTTCTTGTTGATAGATGGACAAGAATACCTCAGAGTTTGCAATGCAGAACAGTTCATGGAAAAATTAAATTGCAGTGATAAAGATCTCGAAGTAAAGGTGGTATCAATTTTTGGAAATACTGGTGATGGCAAAAGTCACACCTTGAATCAAACATTTTTTTAAAGGAGAGGAAGTTTTTGAGACTTCAAATGATCAAAATTCATGCACATTAGGTGTTTGGGCTGCACTTGATCCAGTTCTTAATGTAATATGTTTAGATACAGAAGGTTTATTAGGTAATATAATATTTACATTTATATAGTACATGATAAAAATTTATTTTATATATAAAAAATTTTTTTTATCTATATTTAGGTATTACCTCTTATGAGAATGAACGAACAAGATTATTACTTAAAGTTCTTGCTGTATCTGATATTGTTGTGTATAGAACACAGTCTGAAAAGTTGAATAGAGATTTATTTACATTTATTGGTACTGCTTCAAGAGCATATAGTCATCATTTTCAAGCTGCCTTGCAAGCAGTAGGACAGAGGAAAGGAGATCTAGGCTCCATAAGTGCCTTGGGACCAAGCATTATAGTATTACATGAGACTAGATACACCAAACCTTTGACCAACAGTACATATTGCCACATTCTCAGATTAACAGTAATTTCAAAATAAGAGTTTATTTACAAATTGATATGTTATTTTATAATGAATATATTATTTTTTTTGTTGTAGATGGTATAGAAAATGCAGAAGATATTCTTCGAACACGATTCGCTCAAATGAAGCTCGAAACGGAAGCATTTAGTTCCATAAAATACGTCGGTATACAAACAACAAATTCCACGACTGATTATGAGCTTTTGCAGACTGCTATTAAAAAAGAATTATATAATACTAACATACGATCTGCCAGAAAACCATATTTAGTTTATAATACATTGAAAATTTTGAACGAAAAATTTTCTGGAGAGATGGAGAATTTTTCTAATATTTTGTTTCCTGATCAATATTTCACTTGTTCTGTTAAATGTCTCAGTTGTGGATCTAGATGCAGCAATAGTATGGGACATCTTTTAGAGGGTAAACCTCATAGTAGCAATACCAAGTTAGTTTTGCATTGGATTATTTGTAATTTAATATAAAAGTACAAATACTATTGATATATATTTTACTAGGTGTCGATATCAGCATCAATATGAAAATGTAATATATATATGTAAAAAATGTCATAGTAATGGAAATGAAGTACAAGTTATGAAACGAGTTCAAACTCAGAATGATAATAGTTGGTATGGATTAGTTAAATATGCATGGTCAGGTGATGTGATAGAATGTCCACATTGTGGAGAAATATACAAAAGTCGTCATTATTGGTATAATAATAAAAATCCAGAAGATTTTGCTGTTCGTACAGAAATTACGCATGTATGGAATATGGTATGTAATAAATATTTGTAAATCATTTTAGAGCGAATCGTTCATTGAAAATAAATTATTTTTTTATTTTTTTTAGGAAATCATACAGTGACAACTCAAAATGCAGCACAAAGAGTAATAGATGGTGTATCGTACATTACCGAAGCTGTAACCAATGTTTCGTTACAACCGACTAAAGTCCTTTCAGCATGGGTTGCAGATCAAGTAGCTCCATCTTATTGGAGACCAAATAATGAAATAAAGCACTGCCATAAGTGTAAAATGCTATTTGGACTAACTGATACGAAACACCATTGTCGAGCGTGTGGTGAAGGTTTTTGTGAACAATGCTCATCCAAAACAAAATGCGTTCCATCTAGAAATTGGCATACACCAGTACGAGTTTGTGATATTTGTTATAATAAAGATGAATCTACCGAATCTTCAGAAGATGTTAGCGCTAGAAAAGTATCGGAACAAGTAGTATCTACTCTGAGTGCAGTTGGTTCTGTTTTAAATTATTCAAAATGTAAGAAAATAGATTTTTCAAAAAAATATAATATCAAAATATTTATATTAATCTTAATATTTTTAATTTATTCAGCACTTATTAAGGATACAGTTCGACCATCTTATTGGATTCCTGATTCGGAGATTGTTAATTGTTGCATATGCTATCAAAAATTTTCTGCATCACTTACTTTACATCATTGTAGAGATTGTGGACGCGGAGTATGTCAAGATTGTTCACGCCATCGTAAACCTGTACCACATAGAGGATGGGATAAGCCAGTTCGCGTTTGTGACTCGTGCATAAAAATTGTTTAGAAATGTTAGATAAAAAGTTAATAGAGTATTGATTTACTTACAATATTAATCCATTTGCACAATATATATTGAAGAATTAGATACCTCGAATTAAGAAATATTTTTTCTTAAATTTTGTACCTGTTGTTTGAACATTATAACATTTGTGTAATTTTTACTTTTCTTCAAAAGATTGAAATTCTTTGCCATCAAATGAATAAGAAAAAGAAGAAAAAAAATGAATATTTTAATACAGTATTGTAAAAACTTTTTCCTATGAATTGTGCCATGAGTGTACCTGTCTTTTATAAAATATGTTATCGTAGAATATGGCGGTAATTTAATATTAAAAAGAAAATCATGTATGTTTTATGAAATAAGCCATTGCTTATTATAAAATTATAATATTATGCTAATAGAGTATATGGTACAGTATATTGTAGCAATATATATGTCTTCATGAACAAAATGAATCGAATTATTGTCAATATTGCGGTTTACTAGGCTGTGACTGCTTTTAAATTCCAGAAAGCATTTATCCTTTTATTATAGTGTCCAGTATCCGTTACGGTTTTTTATAATTTTAAAAAGACATTGCTGTCTATTAGGCACTGTAATAAAAAAGAATAAATTGTCTAGATTTAAATGAAATGATTATTTCGTTACTACTCCTAATTTTAAAGTATTAAACAAACATTATTTAAAATATCAAATGCTTTATGAAAATTATATTTTCCCGGGTGATTAATTTAATACGATTAATCGATATTCGAGATGCGATAAGATGTTTCGGTAACCACGTGATGACGTCAAAATATGGCGTTTCAATCAGCTGGGTGTTGTGTAGAGTGTGCTTGAGATGCCCGTCTTTAGAAAATCTACGAAGACTGCCGTCTGTCTACTCCAATACGTGAGTTTTTAAAAATTCTCGCATTGTTTAAATTCTTGCATTCACTTGCAAACAATAAGATTTTAACGCGTATCAATAAGCAAACACCAGGTTACAAAGCAGAAAGACGCAAAACGCTGTTTCATTTCTTAAATATTCCAATTCAGTTTTGTATGGAATTTTTAGAAAATTGAGAAAGTATTTAGGAATATTGAGCAAAGTGATTATTAATTCATGAAGTTGCGTGTAAAAAGCTCAATCTTGTTAAAATTTAATATTTCAAAAGATGATGCGTATGTAAAAATACATAAAATATGGTTGGTAGAAAAACTTTCTCAGTGCGTTTAAATTTCGTTGTTATAACAGATATAATGATTTTACTATTGTATTCCTGAACGCATGAGTATTGTATCTTTTTTGAAATGTAATGTTGATACCGTGTGCAAGTGATGCCGTAGCCATTTTCATGTTTGCTCCAGTTTCGTAATCATTATCAACTCCATATTTGAATTCAACAAGTAACGCAGTGACATGTTTTGCTTGTTCTTAAATTTTTCTAATACTTCACGCTTTATCGTTTCATTGACAAAGCATTCAGAATTTGCTTTACTCTTTTTAAATATATCATGCAAAAATTATGTGAGCATAATTTCTCAAAACGATTCGTCTGCGAAAAATCTGTTTATTATGTCGCACTTATTGATAGAAATTTTCTATAGATAATGTCATGTTCACATCAATATATGCGAAATAAAAATGCAATTTTTACAAAATGTTCTCGAAGTATTTTCATTTTCAATCTTATATTAATAAGAGCAAAAAACATGTTCAGAACTAAGTAGTGCTATGTAGACGCCATTTTTTTGAAAATGATTTAAATGTATATTCTTCTGTAAATAATTTTGTAAAATGATACATGCATGAAATAATTAAAGAACTATTAATTAATATGAATAATAGTGTGAGAAATGCTGTAGAATTTGTTGATTCTTTCAAAGTTTATTTTCGATTACAATGTGTTCTTAATAGTACGGCCATTTTGTCGCTTATTAGTGGATAAACAAATGACGATGTTGGTACTTTGGGTTCGAGGCTACAGGCGCGTCATATGCGCGAAAATTCAATTTTATTACCTATGCATCCTTTCCGTAATTATAGTATTCCTATGATATCCGAAATAGAATACAAACTAGTATTTATATAAAATATCTTTATTTAAAAATCTTTTCTATATTCTATAAATCTATATTTCCATATATATCTCAATTTTTATTAATATTTTTACTCATAATATCATGATTATTTAAAACATAGCATACGTTTCGTTTATATTTTTCGAAAATTGTGTTTGTTTTAAACAATTATACATCATTAATATTTTTATAAATATATATTTATTAAATTTTATAATAATATATATTAATTTTTATAATAAAAATTTTAGAAATCTTTATAAAAAAAGAAATTATGTTATCTTTTTTTTTTAGCTATTAGTGATGTATAATAATATATAATCGAAAAATTTGATTGCATTCGAATTGAAGCATCCGAAAAACTATATATATATATATATATATATATATATTGTCT